TGAGTTGAGGTCTATGGTGTTGTTATTCTGTGAGAAAGAGAGAGAAGTGAAGATTTAGTGGTGGAATGGTCTGAAATGCTCATGTTGATCTCACCAGATGGGGAAGGGTGTGGGTCTCATGTTATGTGCTTACGTTGACTGTCATGTTAATTTGTTGGCATATGGTTCTTGGGGCCAATATGTTTAAGCTGTCACGTCTCTTTTGTGAGACATTTGTGTATGTGATGTGTGACAAATATACCACAAATGCTGGGAGAAGAAATATGTTATATGTTTATGACACTTCATCCTTTCTCTTGACACGCATGTCATTATCTTTGGTGATATAAGTTCTGTTTTGTATACTGTCACATTTCTATAGCTTGTCAAGAAATGTTGTTGCCATATTAAAGGTTTGGACTTTCGAGCGAGATCTGAAGAAGAGATGTCAAGTGTGCATGCTTGAGATATGTTTTTTTATTAAATGTTTTCTTCTTATCCCTACATACTATTTTTTCTTATTTTTTAATTGTTTCTTTTGTTTTGAAATTTTATGATGCCTTGCATGATAGCTTTGAGGCCTACTCTTTGCCTCAAAAGTGGGAGTTAATTGAAAAATTCATTGCTGTCATACTGCCTTTTGAAATCTTGGTTTAAATTGCCAAAATTTAATAGAAAAAGTACGTTATTTGCAGTCTATCATCATTTGCATGTTTCTGCTATACCAATGCATGTTTTGGGGTTCTGTTCATACTATCTCTAAATGTATGCTTTGCTGTCTGGGGTTCTATGAACTGCTAAAAGTTGGTTGGTTATGTTGAGGTAGTAGTCTATTTTCAGATAAGACTCGTATAAGTTACTGGACGTTTATTATAAGTTGAGAAGCATGGGCAATTAATTCCATTAGCTGAATCTGTTTTTTTTTATAAGAATAGTAGGCCTCATTAAAATCCCCCTTCATGATTAATGGAACTTGAAGACAGTTCCTTAATCAGCGGAAGGAAGAAAAGAGTGCCCTAGGATTTCATTAACATCAAATAATTACATAGGAATACAAGACCTAAACTCCCTTAAGGAGATAGAAAACCAAAAAGAAACAACCCTTAACAGAACATAATGATCAACCAATGCCAGCCTTAGCTAGGGTGTCCGCCTCTATATTAGCTGTCCTATTAACCCATCTAATAAGACCTTCACAATCTCTAAGCTTTTGAATAATGTCTTTAACAATTTGAACATAAACTACTGGACATAAAACAATATCCTTAACCCAGTCAACTGCCACCCTACTATCACCCTCAATAATCAAGCGGCCCTTAAATCTATGATGAATAGATTCAAAAAAAATCTAAACCCTTTAGGATAGCTTTCAATTCCATCAAAGCTGGAGGCCCCGGACCAGCAGCCTCTTTGAAAGAGCCAAGGATCGAACCAGACATGTCTTTTAGAACACCACCTAAACCACCCCTCTTCCAATCACTAGTAATAGCAACATCCACATTAAGTTTAATAAAGCCCTTTGGAGGAGGGGACCAAGGAAACTTAGTTGAAATCAGAGTAGAATGGGACGAGTAATAATCCCCTAAGGAAGGGTCAGCAATAAGAACATCCTTGGAGATAGAAACCAGATTTTTCTTAGCTAAAAACCATGAAGCAAGCCTGAACCTTGCTAGAAAGAAAATTTCAGCTCGATCTAGCGTCCCTCCTTCGAACACAATAGAATTTCTCGTTTTCCATATTGTCCATAGAACCACTCCAGGAATAAGTGACCATATTAGAGAGTTGGTCTTCAAATCAGCCCATGCTAGGAGGAAACTTTTAGCATCTTCGTGAAAAACAAACTGAAAATTCTAGTAGCTCATGAATTTAGTCCATATTGACCAAACAAACGAACAAGAAAAGAATAAATGAGATGGAGACTCTTCTAATAGCTTACAAAAGAGACATAAAGTATCATCTATGCCCTTAACACCTCTTTTAACCAGAGCTGTCTTCACTGCCAGCTTCTTTAAAATCACTTGCCAAAGAAAAGTCTCCACTCTTGGAGGCAGCAAGCCCCTCCAAACAATAGTCTTCCAAAAATAAGCTTCCTTCGAATCCGAAATACCCGAGTAAGATAGATTAACACATGATTTAACAGAGATAACCCCGTCTCCAGAACCCTTCCACAACAGCCCATCAGCAGAATCAACAGAAATAGAAAAATCGGAAATAGCAGCCATCAAATTTGTCCATTGCTCATATTCCCAGTCATTCAACTCCCTTCTCAACTGAACATTCCAAAACCAGCCCCACGAGCTGTATTCCCCAAATTGGAATAATTTTCCAGTTTTGTTCACTGCGATAGAGTATAGTATAGGGAAAATGACCATTAAAGGATGATCCCCATTAGCTGAATCTGTCCAACTGTACTGCCATTCAATGTTGTGGGTTCCATCTCCCTCATTTTCTTTCTCAGATGAACTAAGCTTGTTTTAAATCTCTAGTCATCGTTATTTTGCCTTTGAATCTCTCACTCCCACTCGATAATAGCACACTCTAAACCAGATAATCCATAGAGAAAAAAAGGTTATAGTTTTTAAGAAAAACCTAAAATATGATGATTGGCGCATGGAATATGTAGTTTATTAGGTGCACCTCTTGGTGTTGGCAATCGATTCCAATTTATCCTACACTATGGTGTAGGAGCATGTCCTCTGTTCAGGGCATAAAGCACTTTGTCTAGTTTAGAGGATCTTTTAGTTTTGATGAATTATTAATTCTATAGACATTGAACTTTTCGGAGATTATCAATATTTGATTCACTTACTATTCAGTTATTGATTCGATTACAGTTGACATTTGGCACATGCTTTATACTTTCAGTGGATTGGGTATGGGATTTCAGGTTTTGTGTAATTTGCTCTTTGTTCTTGCCGTGTAACATGCATCCTTCGATGGGCAACATATAGTAAAATGCCTACATGCCCTCAGTGTAAACATCCATTCGAGTTCCTCAATGTTCATCGTTCGCTTGACGGCAGGCAATCTCAAATCCTCCATTCCTGATTGTTGAATTGTCCTTGTTATGTTGGCATTTCCCAGTGAGGGAATTCTAGTAGTGAGTTATAATCCATTTTTGGTTGTTGCTTTTTCTTTATAAGGATCAACGACTACATGTTCGAGGAAAGCGTGTGCCTGCTTCTTAGAGCCACATGGTTTAAACCTTTGATTGTGGAGGAACGTGAAGAGGTATATGATGAACTGGAAGATTATTATTACAATTATCCTTAATGAAGACGATGACAACGAGGAAGATGAAGTTTATAACAACAGTGCACCGAGTCTCCGCTTCGGGAATCGGAGATGGGGTGATAACGGATATGTAAGGTCAGGGCGTCAAGAAGCCAGACCTGTCCAACGATCATCCAGTTCCCAGAATACTGCCGCCTCATCGTCTTCAAGTGAGCCCAAGAAGAAAGAAGTTTCGAAAAGTACGATGGGGCGAAGCGAGCTCTGATGCGTGAAGCAGCCGATAAGGCAGCTGCAACCAAACATCAAGAGCATTTGATGAGGCTGGGGCGGAAGTGATCTTTGATTCAATGTCTTTTTTATAGGACATTGAACCGAAGTGCTTAAGGGTGATTGAACCGATAAGCCAGCACTTTTTTTAAGCTTTTATTACAACAATTATATACTTAAGGTATATTGGTACATTATCTTTTTCATTTAAATTCATTTAAATACTTAAAATATTTTTTTTATCAAAATAAGTACTTTAAATATTTCTGATCAAAATAAATATTAAAGATATCAAAATAAGCATTTGAAGTATTTAATTTTTTTTGTCTAAGAATCAAAAATATTCTATAACTTATACCATATGTTAATTTTTTCGAAATTTATTAGGATTTAGATGAATTAGATTTTTTTTCAGAATTTATTAGGATTTAGATAAATTAGAATTTAGATGCAAACATTTGAGTAGTTTAGCTGCTTGTTTTTGATACAAAATAATATAAAACATAAGAATAGTTTAATTATTTAGTATTTCATATAAAATATTTTCAATATTTATTTTGATTAAAAAATAATTTGAAATACTTATATTGATAAAAGAATATTTTAAACATTTAAATAAATAAAAAATATTTTAGATATTTAAATAAATAAGTGGATATATTTTAAGTATTTATTATTATATAATTTTCTTTTTAATTTGTAATTATCGATGTTCATTAAAAAATAATTGAATATTGCACGAATGTTTTTTACATATCATATAACCATCAAATATAGGAACTCAATTTGTTCTTTTTGCATATTATATGATCATCAATCATCAACTATAGGAACCCAACTTGTATCAATAGAAAGAGCTTTTTAATGAGGTTCAATTTTTTTTTCAAATATGGAGTCTTAATTTGTATTGGTAGAAAGGGTTTTTAACAAGATTCAATTTCCTTAAAAAATTCATTCAAATATCTTTAAGAAATTATGTTAACTTTAAGAAATTATTTTTAGTTGGAGTATTATTTAAATATAATATATTAAAATATTGATTAGATGTTTAATTTTTTTAAAATTTAAATCTAGCATGTCGGATAAAATTTTGAAATAATAATTTTAAAACATAAGTTTGAGTATTTGATAATAAAATTGATTACTGATTTTAAAAATCATATTAATTTATAAAATTAAATTAAATATTTACGAATATGAATTTATATGATCTATAACCATTCTAAACTAATCAAGACATAATAAAAGTATCATATACATTACCATTTTAAACAAACCAAGATATAATCTTGATAAACTAAATCATGTATGCATGAGGAACTATATATAATATATATATGAGTGAATTGATATATATATATATATATATATATATATGATATTTTTTTTCATCAAAACAAATAGAATATAATAAATATGAAATTCGAAGTAATGGTTACATGTACAAAAAAAGAAAATAGGTGTCCTAAAAGGTTAACTATTTTCAATGAAGTTGAGATGATACCGATGGTGCATAAACCCTAATTAAGCCACATAGCAAATTCATCTTCTGTGAAGGATCTCTGCATAAGAAGTTGAGTAAACGTTAAGGTGCATGCAGCCGGATTCTCCCCTCCCATGTGCACGCCAGTAGAAGCGGAACTCCCGGTTGCGCCGTTAGCGTTACGAGCTTTTTCTGGCTGACGGCGAACTTCATTGTCATCGAACCAAGGGTTTTCCAAAATAGCCGCCACCACCACCACTTGTGTTGCCGCCGTCAGTTGCCCCACTACTCTCCCTCCAAGGAGTTGAAATTGTGGCCCTTCAAGAGTTATGTGAAAAGAATGACACGACAGTGATGATTGGGGTACTGGTCCGTTGGAAGAAGGCGGATTAACGTATTCCGGGAAGAATGAGCCGATCAAGGAGTGTAACTCAAGGGGTCCCTCCAGAAAGAGCGGTGGTTGTAGTGGAGAAGCATTGCAGAGCTCGACGTTTGAAACAGAACCGGTGGCGCTGATTATACCAACACCGACATGATTTCTACAGGCGAAGTTGATAATCCTCTCGATAACATCGAACCCGGGGGAGATTTCAAAAGCCACCGTCTTCAGCGGCGAAGTTTCACTGTCCCTCCTCACAACAATGGGCGGTTTGGGTTTGTTCTTGGATCCTCGAGGCCTACCTGTACGCCTCTTTGCAGTCTTCTCATCAGTTTGTTGATGATTATCAATGGTACTACTACTAGCCTTAATGTTAGAGTTGGGAGACCTGCCGCCGGAGAAGGAGAAACTTAGAGGGTTTGAATCTTCGTCGTTGACGGAGGCGTGAGGTTGAAAATCAGAGACGGGTGCGCTATAATCCGCCATCGTATGATATCGGAGGCTGAGGTAAACAGAAGTAGAGAACAAGAAACGGAAAGAAACACTTTTTATAGGCTTCGGGGATGCTACGTCGGTGTACTAAAAATTTAAGATTTGGTTCTAATTGGATTCTACTTAAGTTTCTTTAAACCGACTTCAGGGTAAATTACTTATTTGCTCACCGTTTTATTATGATAATTTTATTTTAATCACTTAACTATTTTTTTAAATCATATCTAATATTATATTTTATTTTCATTTTTCATTGTTGGGTTTTACCGTGAAATAAAATAAAATAATGGTGTGATATAATATAATAATAATTTTAGTTCACAAAACTTATACATTATATTAATTTGGTTCTAATTAAAAATAATTAAATAAATCTTTAATATTTTAATTTCTTTTTACCAAATTGATCATCTTTTTAAGCCTTGATAGGCTTGTTTGATTGTAGGCTTAATTGGAAAATAAGTATCAAATTATATTGTTTTTCTCAAATAGGTGTCCAAACGTTTTTCAATTCTTCAAGGTGTCTATTGTTACAAATGTTATCATTTTAGGTGTCTCGACTGTAACGGCCGATAAAAAAATCAGTTAAGTGACACGTGTTATAATATGATATATTTAGAAAATTTATTTTAAAAAAAATTAAAATATTATTAAATTTAAAACCCTAACTTTTCTATTTTACACAAGATACCCCACAATTCATAAAAATCATAATTCCCAAATCTCAAAAACCTAATTTTCTAAAATCTAAAAAATTTAGATCCCTAAAATCTTTAATTCTAATCCACTTATTAATTGTAGTTGGCAATTTTCAACCACTATCTCCATTATGGAATGATTATCCATATGTTATCGCCTACCTACAAATCAATTATCACCCATATCACTATCTTAAACTCCTAGAGATCAATTTGAAATCGAAAAAGTCAAGATTATTTAACCACTGTCGTCAAAAAAAACCTTAGAGATAATCTTAGAAAACGTACAATAAGAGCATATAAAAATGTGTCACAAGAGTATAGAATTTTTATAAAATTTAAATATGTTATAAATTTGTAATCTAAACTATAGTATTTTCATAAAATATAATAGATTTAGACTATAAATTTTATTACCAGTTTTAAAATTTTAAAATCTAGATCAAATTTTAAGTGTTAAAATTTTCTAAGTTTTTTTCCTACAGTGACTTGATTCGGGAATTCGCATCTTTTAACAATCTCTTGTTTTTTTAATTGTTTCATTCTAATTCTCAATTTGATGATTTTAATATTTCTAATTGTTTTTAGTTTCGTCACTTCTTTGATTTGTCATCATTGTCGATAACACATGTTAACTTCCTAACAAATTGAAACCGCAGCTAACCACCTCCAAAGGCCAAATACAAACCAGTCGTAGCCTTTGCTACCCAATAGCACACTACACAACACCCTCTCAAAGCCCCGAGGCTCCACGACAAACCTGAATCAACGTAGCTCAGCTCCCCACTCACAAACTTTCAGCAACAGAACCCACTAACAGCACAGTAGATTTGCTCGCCGCTCTTGGATTTTCCCACCAATCATTCACATTAAAAGCACCTTCGCTATTGGTCGCCTTAATCTAAAAAAAAAAAAGCACACAGCTTGGAGAAGAATAAGATATCAACGAAACTTACTGATTTAGCATTGAAAATCTTATCGTTCCTAGCTAGCCACAAACTCCATAAAGCAGCACCTACCGAAATCAACCATAGACTCCTATGAATACCTAAAAAGTTCATGCCATAAAAAAACTTTAGGGAGGGTGGCAAGGCATCCGGCACAACCCAACCAACTCCCCACCATTCACAAAATAAAATCCAGAAGGATTGAACATGGGTACACCCCATAAACAAGTGGAAAGCGTCCTCAAGAACAAGATTGCATCAAGCACACAAACAATCAACCTCACCTCTTAATAAACCTTTCCTCCTAAGAACAACCTTTGTAGGTAATCTACCAATTTTAAGCATCCATAAAATGCTTTTTATCTTTGGCGGCACTTTTAGTTTCCAAACTAGATCAAAGTTAAAAAGAGTATCATTCACTTCCACACTTAAAATCAACTCTGAAAGCTTTTTAACCGAGAAATAAACCGATTTATCATGGATCCACATTAACCTATTCGGCGAAAAGGGCGGAAGATCGCCGCCTCCTCCACCAAACTCGTAATCTGTCTGACCCTTTCTTATTCACGGTCAAAGAGTGGCCTAGAAAAAAGACACTCCCAATTTTCATTATTCGACTCAATGGTCTACCCAACTTCGGATAGAGGCACACCTTTCTCAACGACCAACCTAAACAACCTTGGGAATAATTTAGATAAAGGTGCGTCACTGCACCAAGCATCCTCCCATAACAGTATATCATTCCCATCTCCCACTTGCCAACGAAATGAGTCTTTGCCCATCCATTTAGCCACATAATCCTTCTTCCAGTTATTAATAATCCAGCTCCTTCACTTTCTGCCAAAGCCCAACTTATGTTGCACCATATCGGGGAAATCCTATCTCACGCAATCATACACCTTAGAGAAGTCCAACTTAAGAACATCATCACTTGCTTCCATATCATCCTCACCCATGGAATGGATGATTTCATTGGCAATTAAAATGTCGTCAAAGCTTTTGACGACCCTTCATGAACGCACATTGACTTTCACTTATAATTTGATCCATCACCGTCCTGAGTTGTCTCCTAAATCGACCTAACAAGACTGATAGGCCTATATTCAAAGATATTCACCGGATCACCAACCTTAGGAATTAAGGCTATAATTGTAAAACAAGATTTTATATCAATTATATAGTCAAATTATTTTTAATACTTATGATTAAAGGTTTAATTTTCACTAATATTTATTATTAATATAGTGCATTAATATTTATATTTAAAAAATCTGAGGCATCAGATTACCATATAACTAAAGCATGCATGCAAGCATTAAAAAACTCGATTTATGAAAAATTTCCACAAAACAAATAGAATAGAATAAATGTCCTAATTAAAAGGTTTACTATTTTCAATGATATCAATGGTGTACAAACCCTAATTAAAACCACATAGCTAATTCATCTTCTGGGAAGGACCCCAACCAATGGGCATCAGAGTAAACTGCAAGTTTGGTGGAGCAGGATTCGCTCCTCCGTAAACACTCGTGGCCATGCCAGTAGAACCGAAACTCCCGATTGCGCCATTTGCGTTACAAGCTTTTTTACGCTGACGGCGATCTTCATTATCATCCAACGTAGGGTTTTCCAAAACAGCAGCCACCACCAGCACTTGTGTTGCCGCTTCCAGTTTCCCGAATACTCTCCCTCCAATGAGTTGAAATTGTGTCCGTTCAAGTGTTACGCGAAAAGAATGACACGGCGGTAATGATTGGGTTGTTCCGTTAGAAGAAGGCGGAGTACCATGTTCTGGGAAGAATGAGCCGATCAACGAGTGTAACTCAAAAGTTCCCGGAAGAAAGATTGGTGGTTCTAGTGGAGAACCATTGCAGAGATTGACGTTTGATACAAAGCCGGTGGCGCTGATTATACCAATACCGACATGGTTTCTACAGGCGAAGCTGATAATTCTCTCGATCACATCAAAACCACGGGAGATTTCGAAAGCCACCGTCTTCACAGGTGAAGGATCACTGTCCCTCGCTACAACAATCGGCGGTTTGGGTTTGTTCTTGGATCCTTGAGGCCTTCCTCTACGCCTCTTTGCAGTGTTCTCTTCAGTTTGTAGATGATAATCATTGGTACTTGTCTTGGCGTCGGCAGAGCCGCCGCCGAAGTCTAAGGAACTTGGAAAGTTTCGCTCTTCGTCGTTGCCGGTGGCGTGAGCTTGAAAATCGAAGACCGGTGCACTATAATCCGCCATCGTTTGATATCGGAGGCTGAGATAAAGAGAAGTAGAGAAGAAGAAACGGAGGGAAGCGCTCTTTATAGAGGTTTTGGACATGAAGTGTCGGAGACTTAAATCTGGGCCGTGTTTTGTTGGCTTTAGAAAACTAATTCTATTCGACTTAAGTTTCTTCTAACCGCCTTAATAATAATGGTAAATTCACTGTTTCGTCATACATATATTTTTATATTTTTATTTTAGTCACTTAATTATTTTTTAAATCATATTTAACGTCTCATTGTTTTACTCGCTCATCGTTTACTTAACCAAAATAATGATTTGATATAATATAATAATAATAATTTTAATCCATAAAACTAATATATCATATCAATTTAATTTCTAATATGATAATTTTATAAATCATTAATATTTTAATTTTTTTATCAATTTAATGTTCATTTTAATTTAAAATTATTTTATAATTCAACCACATAATTTTCGATCAAATTAGATTATAATACAGAAAAAAGAGAACCTCAAATACTAACCTTCGTATACAATTTATGTGTTCATAAGCATATATAACAATCATGAATTTTAAAGCGTAAATAAAAAAAATCAATTGAATACGGTCTGATTTATTCGTATCTATTTTTTTGTTTAAATTTTTTGTTAAGCTTTTAGTTTTTTATTGTATGCTCATTGTGTTATTTTAAATGACTAAGTTGATATTAATGATTATGAAACGATGTACTAATTATGCGGTTAATTTATCTTTATAATAATAAATATGAATTATATTTTTGGATATTTCATCTTTCTAACAACATTAACGGTTTCTATAAAAAATTCAATCAAAATTGACTATTGATAGAATCTTATAAAAAATATATATTTATTTGTTCTTTCATTCACATCATAAATATGATAAAATTTAATATTAATAATATAATATTCGACTAAAAAACTGATTTTGAAAAGATTTGAAAGGAACTAAATAATAAAATTATAATTAAATATTTTAAAAGTGTTTAATTATTATTATTTGTTTGTTGTCATTTAGTTCCAAGATTTCGTTTTGAATAATCTGGACTAGGGGTGTTTAATGAGTTGAGTCGAGCAGAGGCATCGTTTCATCAGAATTAGAAACATCGTTGGGGAGTGATTCTGTGGAGGCATAGAGGGGAGGGATGTCGATAGAGGCAGGATCGTTGAAGGAAGAAGGGGATCCACCCGTCTGGTGGATCATCATCTTGCTGTTTGGGTTTTTAAAGGTCTTCAGAGGAAACATACATCTTATATTAAATTTATTTTATAAATTTATCGATCACATTAAATATAAAAATAATTTTAAGAGCTGAATTATATTTTTGAAAGAAAGGTACAAAGGTGTACCCTTTTGCCTTAATAAATATTGACAGATGACAAGCCAAATGCATAGATCTTATTGTTTTCAACATAAACCACATCAGTTGTCGACCAAGTAGACCCCATTTTTTATTTGTGGTTTTTATTTTATAACTTAGAAACATTCAGCCCTTGCCAAAACTTCCGGCTTTTCCTCCATTGGCGTTGAACAGAAGAAATTTCAGGGCTTTTTTTTCAGGTACCCCTACTACATTCATCTCTCATTAATTCATTCCTTTTTTTGAAAATTTATTGGTTTGTTGTTGTTTCTGTAATTTTTTTATTTCTGGGTTTTGTTTCATTTGCTTCTTTTTAATTTGAAAAAGTAGAATATCAGATCGGATCTTTGTCAATTTTGAATTCTGATCAATACCTTTCATTCTGTTGGTTTGAGATTGGATATTCATTATTTTGTGCTCTGTTGTTTTGAACATTGCGGTTTTGATGCAGCATTGACTCGTGTATTATTGTCATGCTGCTTGCATTGTATTGATGCAGGTTCAATTCTATGGATTTCTGAGAGTTGTGTTATCAATCGTCTTAGATATTGCAACAAAAGGTTTTCTTACGCGCTGCAATTCTACACTGCATTGCATCAAAATTTGAAGGTTCAGTTGAATTATTGTGAATTTTTGCTCTTTCAAATGTTGCTATAGATAACATTTGAACTAAGCCCTGTGGCTGTGAGAAAGGCGGGATTTTGTATTGTGTAGTGAATGATGAGGCGTGTTTCGCCGCTCTTTTTGGTACTTTTAGTGCTGGGGTTTTTCTTTGCAACATATAATTTGTTGACTATGATAATACACTACAATACATATTCAGAAGAGTGGGATGATCCTTTTCTAAAGCCGGAAAATTTGAATGAATTTGGGGGTTCGAAGTCAAAGTACCATGTTGCTCTCACGGCAACTGATGCTCCGTATAGCCAATGGCAGTGTCGGATTATGTATTATTGGTATAAGAAGGCAAAAAATATGCCCGGATCAGATATGGGAAAGTTCACTCGGATTTTGCATTCGGGTAAATCCGACAGTTTGATGGAGGAGATTCCAAGTTTTGTTGTTGATCCTCTTCCAGAGGGTTTAGATCGGGTGAGCCTTTTTTTGTTTGGTATTTCGATTCTTCATTTCCCCTTGTATTTTTGAACATGTAACTCAGTGAACAAGCAACCAAACCATATATAGATATAATCGGAACTGAAAACAACTTGTTTTAACTAAATTTTTCTTGTTGTCTCAATGCCGTCTTCAGGGTTATGTTGTCTTGAATAGACCGTGGGCTTTTGTGCAATGGTTGGAAAAAGCAATAATTGACGAAGAGTGAGTTTTCGTTTAACCGATAAGACCATCCATGGTGTATGCTATTTCTTTATTTTATCTGAAACGTTACCGCATTTTATGACTGATGCAGATACATTCTAATGGCAGAACCTGACCATATATTCGTAAATCCTTTGCCTAACTTAGCTCGCGGACAATATCCAGCAGGGTTCCCTTTCTTCTACATTAAGCCATCTGATCACGAGACTATTATTAGGAAGTATTATCCCAAGGAGAAGGGTTCTCTGATGGACATTGGTCCGATTGGCAATTCTCCCGTGATTATTAGAAAGGTAGCCCTTTAAGATCGTTGTAGCTTGTGTGACAAGTTTGTTCTGAGCATAAATCACCTTCAAATTTCTTTCACAGTAATTTTTAATGCAAATTTAAAGCATGATTTCTTGTTTTATAACAGCCTGTGCTGGAGAAAATTGCACCGACATGGATGAATATTTCATTAATGATGAAAGACGATCCAGCAAGTGATAAGGCATTTGGATGGGTTCTAGAAATGTAAGACACTTTTCACTTTTAATTGTATTCTTTTTTGTTGATATGGCCTTTTGACATGTGCGATTGTTCGATCGAAACTTAGGTATGCATATGCTGTGGCATCAGCACTACATAATGTGCATCATATACTTCGTGAAGACTTCATGCTCCAGGTTTTAATAAAAACACGATGAACATTTTTTTTCTTTTCTCTCGATGACCTTTAGATACAATTCGATATTAAACTCTTGTCGCTGTTCATTCTCAGCCACCTTGGGATGTGGAAATAGGGATGAAGTTTATACTCCATTATACTTACGGATGTGACTACAATTTAAAGGTACAATTATAAAAGAATAGCTCTCTCTGTAATTCATTGTTTTTCGAGTCTATATGTAATTTTTCATTTGTTTTACCACTTTAAGATTAACTTTTGCCTACAACTTGTTCACTCTGAGTTGGCATTACAGGGAGAATTAACTTATGGAAAGATCGGAGAATGGCGTTTCGACAAGAGATCGTATCTTAGCGGGCCTCCTCCACGGAATCTCTCTTTGCCCCCTCCAGGTGTTCCTGAAAGTGTGGTAAGTTCATCCATTTGGGAAAATATAGGAGTTGGTAGACTGATTCATTAAGTTAAAAGAACTCAAGCCACACCCTAGAGTGAATCTAGGTAATAGTTGTAATCATTGTCTCACTCATTGCAGGTTTATCAATTAGTCGTTGTAGTTTCTCGGCATATTAGATAGTTTCTCGACATGAACTTTTTGAGTTTTAAACAGTTCCTTTTCAATTTCTGCAGGTGAGACTTGTGCAGATGGTGAACGAGGCTACAGCAAATATTCCCGATTGGGACGCACTTTAAGTTGTGGCTGAGACCCAATCTTATTAGTTAGTGCATCCATTCGGATGCTGATATTGATCTCCTTCCACCGAGAGTTATCTGCGAAATAGAGGTAGCTGAGACACCAGTATACATAGCGAAAAGGGTATGTTTTCAAGTTAACAAGGGATGCATCATTTTTGTCACTTTTATTAAACATTTAAAGCATTGATTTCCTTTCTTTTGTGTTATATATAAATATGAAGTCTATTTATCGATTTTTTCTCGTGAAGTTTCGAGAATGTAAATCACATTTTGGAGATACAGATCAGTGAGTGATTAAAAATCCTTTTTTTTTTGCTTAATTCAATTCGGTGCCTTATTGGAAAAGTATTTAAGTACACATCACTCAATTCACCCACACCACCATAATCCCGATCCCATCGCCCAAGCGACTCATCTGCAGACTATACATACCTAGTAGACATCTCAACTAGAGTTCTGAAGCCTCCTTGTCTGCAGAGGACTGGCTGAGCATTGGAGCATATTCGTATGAGATTGCTGACTTCGAACCATTAGAAAATAGGATAGTAAACCAAGTTTATTCGACCAAATCCCCGAGAAATAGCCCCCAAAAGTATTAAAAATCCTTTTTTTGCCTAATTCAATCCGGTGCCTTGTTGGAAAAGTATTAAGTACAAATCACTCGATACTAACCAACACCACCATAATCCCGATCCCATTGCCCAAAAAACTCACCCCAGCTCCCAACCTGCCCTTCGCCAGTTGGAAATGGAGGCAAGAGGTCGCCCAAACCCGTGTTTTTTGCTTGAAAAGACCACTACTAAGGGAGGGTAGAAGGGAGAGGCTTACAGATGATAAATTAGGTCTCACGTATACTATATTTCTAGGTCTGTCCGCTGAAAGTGAGAGGAATGGGAGTGGCTCTACTGTTAAGAAGATAAACAGAATTCGAGTTACCGCTTTCTTTCATTTCGGAATGTGGGACGACAATAGAGGTTCTTGATTTCAGAATTTAGGTACAGGACCATAGATGCAGACCATACGTACCTAGTAGACATCTCAGCTAGAGTTCTGAAGCCTTGTCTGCAGAGAACTGGCCGAGCATTGGATCATATTCATATGAGATTGCTGACTTCGAACCATTAGAAAATAGGATAGTAAACCAAGTTTATTCGACCAAATCCCCGAGAAAGAGTCCCCCAAAAAGTTTCGTGGCACTTAAGGCACCAGGTTGTTAAAAGTTTCATGGCTTAGAGGCGACTTCCTCGATCTTTCTCCACTTATCTAGCGAAATCTGAGCCGATCATGTCCCAAGTAAACCGAAAAATATGGTTTGCGTGATAGAACAGGCGTCAACATGCGCACCAGGTTCAAACTAACAGAACCGGACCTGTGAAAGCATTTTGTCTGGTATGGAGTACATAATGGTTTAGACGCATTAGTTTGATGTAGTAAATTCGTAAGAATCATTCCCAAAAACCTAAAGAACAGAAACAAAAGTTGATGAACAAGCTATTTGAAAATAACTTAAACGACAATAACGATCAACTCGAAATCAAGAAGAAGGAAAGGAGCAATAATGAAAAGCTACCTTGTATACTTGCATATTGATTATCGATCTCACATGAAGTACAACCAGTTTTTCCATTTGGAACTGCAATGGTGGCACCTGTGTTTCCAGGGAAAAGAAAGCTTTTTATCCCAGTGAAGACATTGCTGCTTTTATGGCATATAGGGAATATGCACGAGATGCATAATTGACAGAACTATCAAGCTCGGAGCCTTTTGAGGTCACCTCGGAACTACTTTGATCGAGTTTTGAAGTCTCGGATTGGATCAACCACCTCAATTCGCTTCTCATTCACAGATGGCTGGAAAACAATCACTTCATCATCGTCTTCTTCACCAACCATTCCAGGTTGTGGAAATGGCAGAGCATATTGCCAGTATTAATCGTCTTGTCAAAGGGGATTTCATGCTCTGCACCATTTTTTATCAGTGGGTAGAAGACCTGAATGTGACATCTTCACTGGGCTCAGCACCAACAAGAAATTTATTGTCTTTTGAATCAAAAAACACAGTTTTCCAATCAATCCTAATGACATTAGCTAATAGCTAGAGCCCTCCCAGAAGCTATAATTCTCTTGAAACGGGCTTTCTTTTGAAGTATACATGATTGTCATGCAAGATGTCATACCAATAAAATTAAGGGTAAACTACTTGAATGACCACCTAACTATAGGATTGGTGTCAATATGACCACCATTTTTAAAATTTCATCAATATGACCACTTAACTAATTATTAGAGTTTAACATAGCTACATGCTGTTAACAAAATTGGTATAATCACATATATGATCCTTGACACTTATAAATTCTATCACTTTTGTCATAATTTTAATTTAATTCAATAAATTTATACACATTTGGGATGTATTTTACAGCATAATGTATATATTTAATAAACTAGTTAATGCTAGAAAATAAAAGAAATGAAAATGTCCATGGATGGATTTGAACCTAGGGCACATGAAAAATTTGAAAGCAGCAACCACCAAAACAAATCTTACAATCAAACAATATTTTGATAGATTTCGTATATAAATTTAACACTAATTTATACAATATTAAAAGAAAATTAAATTTAAAATTTATATATTTTTAAAATAAATTTAATTGTTTCACATTTATGTTCAATGATTGCATATAATCTTAAATTGGGTCTTTTCAATTTAATTAATAATCTATATGTAATTTAAATTATAAAATTAATGACTTTAAATTGCACATTTTAAATTTCACAATCTAATAAAAAATTAACTAAAATATGATTCATACATTTTTTAAATAAAAATAAAATCATTAACTAAATTAAAAACTCACGAATTAAGATTATATATAATCATTGAATTATAAATGTGAAAAAAATATTAAACTTATTTTAAAAATATATAAAATTTAAATTTATTTTTCTTATAATATTGTATAAATCAATATTTTTTATAGAAAGTCGCTAATTTTATTAAAAATAGAAAATATCTAAAATTACAATGAATATTTACGAGCATAACCGTAAACATATACTAAATTATAATTAGGACATTTTTTATATAATCATTAATACAAAAACTAACCACCTAAATCACACAAGGACCATAAAAGGAAAATGTTAACAAACTTAACCAATGCTCGAATAAAATAAAGATAGGAACAAATCTGACTGCATCGGCAAACGAACCACAAAAGAAGATGAAACTACTGAAAGAATACTGACTAATCGCAAATCAGAGGGTCCAAAGTAGGGAAGATCAACATGATAACAAATAAGCGTCATCTTGATCAATCGTTGCGATATCAAATCCAACCCTGTGAAAAAAGATAAACGAAAACAACGGTAAAAAACTATAAGCTAAAAGGCAGAGAAAACATGCCACAAAGATAGAGAAAAACGAGTCATAAAGATAAAAAACATGTCACAATGACATAATTATTCTTGTTAAAAAAATTAAAAAACAACAAAGAAAAAAGATAACCGACAGGCGGCAACCACCATCAAAACTGGTGTTGCCGCTGGTTAAACAAATATAAAAAAGAAAAAGTTAGATTAATCAACAAAATTGACACAAGTTGTAAAGAAAAAAAAAGAAAGAGGAAGAGAGAGGAGGAGGAAGAAAGCGGGTAATTGTATAAATCAATATTAAATGTATATATAAAATCTATCAAAATATTTTAAAAGTAAGATTTTGTTTAATGGTTTGTGTTTTCAAGTTTGTTCATGTGGCTTAGGTTAAATCCCTTCATAAGCATTTTCATTTTTTTTCCTTTTTAGCGTTGAACAGTTTATACAAATATATATTATGCTGTAAAATACAGCCCAAGTGCGGATGTTGACTCAGTGGTTATACATTATGCTGTAAAATACAGCCCAAGTGCGGAGGTTGACTCAGTGGTTATGCATGCAAGTCTGTGTTGCCTAGGCCTTGAGTTTCCTTTGTAATTTAATTTTCCTTTAACACTACCTTATTAGTGACTAAATTTATTGAGTTAAATTAAAATTATGATCAAATTGATAGAATTTACAAGTATTGAGAATCAAATATATAATTATATCAATTTTATTAATTGTTACACAAACAAATGTTAACAGCAAATGACTATATTGAATTCAATTAATTAGTTAAATGGATGAACTTTTAAAATTGATGGTCATTTCGACATCAATAACATAATTAAGTGGTCATTAAAATAGTTTATCTTAAGATTAAAAAATATATTGTTTTAGTAAGTATTTATGTTTATAATTATTTTAAAAGATTGAAAATAAGAATTAATTAAAAAAGATCAAGAGTTAAATATGAATTTTTTTAAAAAAAAGAAAAGAAAAATAATAAAAGATAAGAAAATCGAAAACCAAATCTATCATCCTACCACAGTTTTTTCTATCGTTTGTATTAACGATTTGTACTTTAATTTTAGTTATCATATATAAGTTGGTATAAATTAATTTAGGATAAACTATTTATATAATTAGTCACTCACTAAGTTAAAACATGAATTAAGGAATAGGTGGATGTTCAAATATGTAATTTATTTATTAATTTATTTATTTAAATAAACAAAATTAAAAAAAAAAACCTCACGTATATATATATATACTCAGACCGACATTTCGCTTGCGAGATGAGAATATACTTCTCAGGATTGAATCTCATCTCACTTAGGATTTCTCATGTGTATATGTAGTCTTTCAGCTGACCAAAATCAAACCATTCCATTCCGTCTTTGAATCCATCGTGTTCTGGTAGAGTTGCATGTTGTTCGTTGTTCATCATCTTCCTTTCTAATTCTTTGCGTATTGGGTTCATAGTAATCAGCCATTCTCGAAAGCTGGAAATAGAGCGAAACTCGATCGCTGCCATGAAACACTCTCCGGAAGAAGATCGTTCAACTTGCTTTTACCGCGAAGAAGAAGAAGACTGCAAAGAGCGTTTTCCGACGATGAAATTGTTTTGCCAGCATATGAAGAGCAACCATCGTCAGAGAAACTCCAGTGGCATTCGAAGTGAAACGGAGACGAATGATATCCCCAAGTGGTCTCGAACCGTTAAGAGAACGAGGAGGCAAACAGCAGCGGGATATGAGTTTTCGAGAGTCTACTATGGATCTTTAGTGTTGCCTCAACTAGAAGAAGGAGAAGATTCGGGTTCGACCCAAAAGAAGCAGAAGACCGGAGATACCAGGCGGAATCGAGGTGCGTTAATGGCGTTCTCTGAATCGGGTGATAATTATGAGTGCGAATCCATCTCCAGCCGTGGAAGAATGTTGAAGAACCCTAGACCAGGGAAGGCCGTGAAAAGTGTGCACCGATGTGAGATTTGTGGCAACCTGTTTGGAACCGGTCAAGCACTCGGCGGCCACAAAACGTCTCATCGGGTGAAGGTGTGGTGAAGTATCGGTTTACCGGTGCCAGACTGCCACGTGTCACCATTGACAAGTTTAGGTTACAAAATTCACAGGACAAATGCCACCCTATATTTAAATTTTAGCAAGGTTTTCTATTTAATATGTGCATTGGGTCCTATTAGATTTGTTTTGTATTTGTTATTTTACGTATTAATTTATAATTATCGAAAATTGATCACATATTTATGGATTACTCCATCGTTCTAACCACTAATATATTATTTTTATGTGTTGTGACATTTATATTCGATATCTAAATAATATTGATATTATAACATGTAAGGGTAGGATACCTCGACCGAATATCAACAAGAAAATAAATAAACATGAAGAATTGTATCGAATCTCCTAACTATGAGTAAGAAAATTACAATGTTAATATAAAAAAAAGAGAGGAGAAAAAGGCAACTAAGCCGTACAACTTCAGTCATCTCCTTAATTCACAAAAATATTCATCTCCAAGCTGTGTTGTCATATATTTTCTTGTTAGCTTGTAATGTACAAATTCTGCATTGCCCTTCATCTCAATTATTCCTTATCATCATCCCTTCCCCGTGTGCTCTGCTAAACAAGGAAATATTCACAATGCCTTCCTTCTCAGTTTTGATCCACTTCCTTCGATCACCTCAAAATATCAGACGAATACGTCGTCACGCCGCTTCTTCGGGTTCGCCTCGGGGTTTCCTTTCCTCATCATTGTAACAAACTCATCGTAGTCTATCCTTCCATCCTGTAAAATGATTTTTTTTCAAACAATTGGCAATGAATTTGCTTCGAAAACGAAAAAGTGTATACGTTTCTGTATACATATAAATAATTAGCTTACGTTGTCAGTATCTACATCAGTAAGGATCTCCTTTAGGTCTCTGCCATCATGCATGCCATATTCACGTAGAGCTTGCTCTAGTTCTTCAGTCGTGATGAATCTGAAAAAGGTAAGCATATGTGTACATAAAGTACTTAAGCAAATGAGAATTGCAGAAGATGGTGGAATTAGCTGCAATATTATCACTATTGTTACCCGCTATTGTCTTTGTCAAAGTGTTGGAAGGCATGGTAGAGATGTTCTTCTCGATCCATTCGGTTCATATGCATCGTGGCCGTGATGAACTCGTCGTAGTCTATGGTTCCGTTTCCATCTGCATCGGCCTATTATTCAAAGAAAATAACAAATGTTCATCTTATTGACAGAGAAAAATGATGGGAATCGAATCATTGATCTTTGGAAATGGCTTACAGCTTCCATAAGTTGCTTAACTTCGTATTCAGAGAGTTTTGTTCCTTGCTTAGCTAGACCTTGCCTCAATTCTTCAAGTGTAATTGTCCCACTGTTGTCAGTGTCTATGCCTTTAAACATCTCCTTCAATCCCATGATTTCTTCCTCCGATAAACAGCCTGCGATGACCTAACAATGTCGTCGAAAAACGAGTCAGAGACTAATTCCGTCGAGTCGTATAACATTTAGACCTTTCATTAAATTGTTTATCAATGTTTAATACCCTTAAAGCAACTTTCTTGAACTGGTTCATTGCTTTGAACTGTTTGAGCCTGTTTAGCACCGCGTTGTCGAGAGGTGTATCGGGTGCTTCACCGTCCACTTTGATCCATGGATGTTCTGTTGATGGACATACAATATAATCAGAATCATGCAAATAACGTGGCCACCATAGCTGAATTTAAGGAACAGAACATTGAGCTTAGACATATATAAATATATATACATATACTTACTTAGAACCTGAACTGCAGTTAACCTCTGCTTGGGATCCAAAGTTAACATCTTCTTAATAAGGTCCTTTGCTGGAGCTGAGATTTTAGGCCATGGAGCACACGTGAAATCGACATGGCCACGTAAAATTGCAGTGAATATCCCGTTTTCAGATTCTAGCAGGGAAAATATGATCTTAGTTTGGGTTCCGGTAAGGTTACTTGAGAAACAAGTTATTAATGAAGTACATGTTCTTAATAATAAATCTTAGTAAATAATATTTCTTGGTGACCAAGGTAGAAGAGAGACGGAAGCACCGAGGGTTGATTAAATGTCGGTTCTGTTTCCGACCACAAATTCACGATGATACATTGAAAAGTTTGAGAAATGACAATGGAAGAAGTTACCTGCCCAGAAAGGAGGAACACCAGAGAGAAGAATGTACAGCATAACTCCAATGCTCCATATATCAGCTTCTGGTCCATATCTCCTCTTTAGGACTTCAGGTGCAATATAATATGCACTGCCAACAATATCTTTAAATTCTTCACCTGTTCCGAAGGCAGAATTAACCATTAAATGTATATCGAATAATCGAATGAAATACGAAGAAGTCAAGGAAATTAAATTATCTCAACCTGGCTTGTAAAAGACTGATAGACCGAAATCCGTGGCCTTCAAGGGGGAATTTTCGTCTTTGTTCAACAACAAGAAATTCTCAGGCTTGAGATCCCTATGGATGACACCCATGGAATGGCATGTATGCACGATTTGAACGATTGTTCTCAGCAAAGAAGCAGCTGCACGCTCGGTGTAATGTCCCTTAGCAATGATCCGATCAAACAATTCTCCGCCGGCGCATAACTCCATCACGAGATGAACCGAATGTCTATCCTCATAAGCACCCTTGAGTTCCACGATGTTGGCCTGGCCCGTCAAATGGTGCATGATCTGCACCTCCCTTCGAACATCCTCGATGTCCTCCTTGTTTGAGAGTTTCCTCTTGGCAATGGTCTTGCAGGCGAACGGTTCGCCGGTCTGCTTGTGAGTGCACAAATGTGTGACCCCAAACTGTCCCCTACCCAATTCTTTCCCAATGTTGTAGGTGGCCTTGATGTCTTCCATAGGTCGGCCTAGCACGGGACCGGTTCCAGAACACTTGGAATACTTGGAGGAGTCTCCTCCACCCCCGGAGAAGGCCGAATGCCTCGAGTTCTGCGCTCGAGAACTGCTCCCGGGATTGTTGTTGACGTTATCCGCCGCGGTGTGTCCCTTCCCGTTGCCGCCGTCATCGGTGAGACTGCTACGAGAGCAACAATTCCCCATTGTTGTAAGGGGGAGAAGGGGGTCAAGTCAGGGTGGCGTTAAACCAGAAAGTAGAAAATTAAAGGTCTTGGTTACAAAGAAATGGACACAATGTATAAGTGATGGTGAAGAATTGGGATTTGGTGAAGGGATTGATGGTGAGGGATTTTAGGATTAAAACTGTCAAACGTGTGTTGAAACCAGTCATTGAGGTGTGTTTTTTTAAGACAACAGTTGGGAGCATTTGTCGTGCCTCCTCTATATTCTGGTATTACCGTTTTCTCTTTCTACGGCTGAAAATCAAAGGGGGGGGGGGGAATATTGCTCTTGTATCAAGTGTTCCACTCTGTTCTTTGGTAATAAAACTAAAAGGTTATAAAGAAAAAGTTTGGATTTTAACGATTAAATAATTATTTTATTTCACTTCAAAAAAAAAATAATTATTTTATTGTTAGTTTATATTTATGGGATCTAATACTAAATACTTATTAAACAAAAGATGTATAGAATACGTATTTGTAGATGTTTATTAGACAGTAAAAATGAAGTGTTCGACTATGTTTAAGTTATTATTTATGTGATCTAATATTATTGAAGTTTAGTTAAGTTTATATTTATGTGACGCAATCCCATTTTTCGTAAAATATTAACAGTTAGTGGTTTGATTAACATATTTAATTTCAAAATTAGTGATTAAAATGAAAATGAACAATAATTAAATGGTTATACGAATAGTTCCACCTTTTTCATTTACTCTCGGCCCACTTGAATTATTGTAATCGCATTTATATATGATTTAGGCCCTTTTTTGCTGAGTTTTCGGTTTTGAGGAAATGCTTGTATTTGTGTGTTATGTACTTCAGTACTTGTGAGATTTTGATATAATTTCTGGTTTTGAGGAAATGCTCGTCTTTGTATGTGTTATGAGGGGCATAGGATCCGAACCCGACGGGTTTTGATCCAACCCGATCCGATCGAATTGAATTTTTTTTAAATTCGAGTTTAGATTGGATCAGGTCGGATTTAGATTTAGGGTAAAAAATATCCGACCTAACCCAACTTGAAAAAATATAAAATTTTACGACCCGATATGACCCAATCATTTCCTCAAAAATATACACCTTCAATCAGGTCAGAACCCATCGGTTTTAGGTCATATTGAGAATGAGCTTGTATCTTCTCTTGATCTTAGGTGAATATATGGGATGTAGCATATGTTCATGACATGATTTATTCATATCCAACTTAATGAGATAGTATTTGCATCTGCTTAGCAATTCAAAAATTACGACGATAGTGTTATTTTTCTTGGAGGTATTTGGTTCAAGCAGACACGTCTGTAAGATATGTCTACATTCATTGTTAATTGATTAAGAAAATTTTAAACAAATACTACCTTAGAAGCAACATATTAATAAAAACAAATATTATGAATGGAAGAACCATAAAATATAATCAAGGACTTTATACTTTGAGAACATTGTTTCCTTTACTTATTGAGGTTCACTTTGTTGGGAATCTTGATGTCTTAGGTTAGGTTGGAACCGTTTGTCCGGTAAAAAGTCATCTTCCGTTAAGCCTAAATTCTAAACCTTAAATTCTAATATTAAGAACAGTAAGATTTTGTATTTGAAACTTAATAAAAAAAAGGAATATATCGTGAATATCTTTATTGAATACTTATTAATATTTTTTAATTAAAAAAACAAATGTTCAAGCCTCATCCTATTTGAATGTAAAAAAAAACATGTTTGTATGGCGTAGCCATTAGGCTAATCCAAAGTGAATAAACCACTAAACATTAGTAGTCAGATGCCAAATAAAACAAGGCACCCCATTTGTTCGGTCAAATAGAAACGCCTTAAGAACGAGGGATCCACTCAGGGATGGACATGAGATCCAAATCTAATAGGTTTCGACCCAACCTGATCTGATTGGATTAGATTTTTAAAAACATTCAAGGTCAGATTGG